GCCCTACACATTTGCTAAGCTTAACCTTGTTTCTAATTCCGAAATTCAAAGCATCATTTAAAATATGATATTCTGTGATCTTGTATACATCCAGTAAACTGCAAGCAGGAATTTAAATAGCTTTCAAATAGCTTTCCTCTAACTGCTTGCCAACAATCATTCTTGGATACTATCATGAAAAGCAATATACAGATTACAAAAGATATATTCTTCAAATTTATTTCATTATTGCACCATTTTTATTTAACAGTCTCACTTCGAAATTGCCGCCCTGCACGTAGTAACTAGAAAAGACTCGCTAAAAGGTAACATTAAGAAAATAACTGGTAGCAGATATAACTGTTAACTTCATGCCTCGTTATTGTATCAGTTGCGGAAAAAAATTAGAGCATTTATGAAACCATTCTCATTCGGATGACTTTAACTTGCTGTTATTCACTGCACCTCAAATATCGCGGAATTTCGCATCTGTTATTTTTTTTTTAAAGATCAAATATTAACAAGAATCATGTTTCAATCTAAAGTATTGCATTCAAATAGAAACAGAATTGCTGTTTCGTACCTCATAAAGCCTAATTCTCATCTAGATGAAGAACAAATTACTACAGTGTGCTCTCCAAACTTCTCTCTCCAGATTTCACTCTACTGATAACATTGAACAACAACATTTCACGACCGCTATGAACGGTATAATCGTTAACGAAGGTTGACTGTGAGCTCAAAAATAAAGTTGTAGGCTATACTTTTGTCTGAGGCTTAGTTTTGTGCATGTTGTCTCTTTCTTCTCCGCGAGTACAATATCGGTAACTTTCTGTAATACATTTTAGAAAGCGTTTTCGTGATGAGACGCTTGAATGACGAATGTGTGTGTGTTCGGCTGGTGGATTAAAAGTTATCTAATTCACATGACATAGACTTCAAATGCGAAACATTAGATTTTTTTTTTACCCTGCTGATTTCTAATCAGATTACAAAATTTTCGTATTGGGCATTTTTACTGAGGAACCAAAATTATTTCGTTAAGAAAAATGTCTTAAATTAGCATGTACTGCAGTACCATCATATCTGCAAGCAGTGTATCCATCCTTATCATGGATAATAGAGGATTCTGTGTAGAACACGATTTTCAGCAAAGCGCGTAATCACTGTAAATGACATGAATAATTAAGAGTAGAATTCTTCACTCATTTTTATCTCAAATGAACTTTGAGGAACCCAGTGAACTGTTTAGCGACTTATCGCTGAGTTCAAACAACTAAAGATGTAGACTCAAGGAGAGATAAATACTCTTTTATTTACTCAAAATAAAATTTACAGTCGGCTCCTTTCTCGGGCTTACAACAAAGCCTCTGCTCCGGCTTGAACTCAGAATAAGAAATAAGGAACTAAATTAGCTACAGAACTATAACTAGCTAAAGGAGACTTAGACGAAGCTAAACACAAGTATTTAACATATTTAATTGTTCCTTAATTTAAACTGGCCGGCGAATATCAAAAGACACGTAACAATACGGCCGAGCGTTACAGCTTCAAAAGAGGGTTAGCGCGAAGGCAAACACGCAATATTCAGAATTCCTAGCTCTCTTTCCCGAAGTTCCGTTCCGTTTGCCATTGTCGGCCGCGTTTAGCTTGTTAAAGGTACAAGCTGTATACCGGCTACTTTCAGTTGGCTGCTTCATGGAGCGATGCTAGGACAGAAATGACTAAGAGAGTCCTGGAAACAAGATATAATACATAAAAATACAAATTTTTCTCATAAACTGGAAAACTATATACACACTATTTTACAACCATTTGCTTTTCATAAAATGAGAACACAATCATGCTATATGCACAGGTCCAGCTGAGATTTTGGACATTGCAGATGTGAAAGCACATTTAAGCTTTATGTAGAACAATTTTGGTTATCGCTGGGCATGAAAGCCGAAAATGGGCGCAGATGGCGATCCTCTTGAAGAATCTCGAAGCTGAAAAGTTCAGAGAAGTTAATCATATTACATTACTGTGCTTCCTGATAAAAAGCATTCATTTTCTGGAGAAACTTCGCCGACGGTTCGATCTTGAGGGCGTCGTGAATGCATTTGTTACGTACATAGAAATGGGCATTTGTAATGATGCGGAGGTATCTGCTTTGCACCGTGTGAAGTTTTTTAAGACCCTTATCGGAGATAATTGTGCACACCGGTGAAGTGTAAGTCATGACTGGTCTGATAACGGAGAGGTAAATGAGTCCCTTCTTGTTCAGTTTCTTTCACGAAGTAAGTTGAATCGTCCTCAAATACTTCTCCTAACTCATTTGCATTCGATGCGAATCTAAAAACTCATTCTTATAGGGAGTTGTAAATGGAAACAAGGATAGGAAAAAGACTTTAAAATTAAAATAACTGTTATTAGATTAAAATATACCTTACAAAACATTTCGTAATTTGTAAGAAACTGTATAAATTCTTATTAGCTTATAAATGCCTTTAGCTAGTATGCTAAGTCTCATGAAATCATTGGTCAAAATTACAACTTTACATCGTGTAAATTCATAAAATGTCTAGCATTCAAATAGTGAACTACTGTTTTACGACTTCTATATGTATGTATGTAAGAAAAATAAAGAATACGCAAAATATTAAATTAGCAGCGTAAATTAATTTCCCTTCTCTATTCTAAAAATAGTAACCCCTCTCTGCACTGCTTCATTTCGAGACTATTCTATGTATTATGATCTTACGTAATCATGATGATGTAAATGGAACTAAAACTCAACCAGCCAATAGTAATTTTACAGCAATATTAATTGTCCATTCAGAATGCTTTGAGAACCAAAACTAATTCAGTCTGATTTAAGATTTCATCCTGAACATAACGCACTTGCTTTCCACGCTTTGGCCTAGCTACACTGCTATCTGTCTGCTGCTGCTTTCTTGCTACGGAGTTATAAAAAGTGTAAGCCTTTTGGAACAGGCCCATTTAATGAGCCGACTTATGTGTAGCGTAACATGTTGCTGAAAAAATAAAACTGAAGATTTAATCTGCCTTCGCCTCCAAATTCCTTGTCATTATGTATCAACACTTTTACGCAATCAAAATTCCTCCTGATTATATTACACATATACTCTTACGATAACTGTTTCCAGTTACCCTAGATTCCAGAGAATATGGTGACTTGTTTCTCTTTCTAGTCCAAGTTAAATGAAGCTTCTTATTGAATTATTTATACGTTTTAAAATTTTTTGATAAGAAAATATACATCCTGGAAATTTTTATAAATATTTATAAAGCTTTTTTGACAATTGAACTTTATGTATTTCTAATATGTTGTGCATTTGTTTTATTTAATTATTTAGTTATTTGGTGCATTTTGTGTGGTAACTTCAAGTCAGTTTATTTAGTATTTTATTTAAGATTAGCGGAAGTACCCGATGCCAGTTAAATTAGATAGAGAGTAATGTATTTAACAACAGAGAGACCGATACCGCTTATAATCCTTCTTCAATATCAAATGCGAAAACTACGATTCATAATCATACATTTTTCAGGCTGATGCGATATGGAACCCGCATAAAACATTTCGATAGAAAAATAAACTAATTCTCTCTCATTATATCAGAACAATGGCATGCAGTTTTTAATGATTTTCGTCTTCCTAATCAAATAGTCGTAGAAGCTCAAGTTCCGTCCAATATTTCACCTATATTCAATTTTAATTGATTAAATGTGGCAAAATATTTATCATAATTCATCAGAAATCAATAACGCGAACAAACAAATGCACAAACAGGTATTCTCTCTATATATAGATTTTGTAAAACTAATAAATTTTTGATTACCAAACTCTACGATTTGGAAGCCAACAGTAGCAACACTTATCGAACTAAAGCATTTTTGTCTCCAACGCGCGAGACTGTTGCCACTCGGAAAAATGATTGCGAAAATTAGTCTTTTTAGAGTTTTTGATTAATACCTCGGCGGATTAAAGTCGTACGAAGTTTGGAATAGTTCGAATGCCTTCCCACGAATTTTTGCAATCGGAAATAATATATTTAATGTTTGGCAATGCTATTTTTATTTCATTGTAAAAGTGAGCCTTAGTTTAGTTCAGAGTCAACTGCGCTACGACGAAACATACTCTTGGTGAAAGCACACTGGTGGAGACTTACTTGAGAGTGACTTTGGTAGCTTGCGATATTCCTTAAATGTAAAAGTGCACTCCGGAATGTCTCTGTGTTATCCTTGAGCTATTCATAGCACTTCACCTTCTTAATAAGAATTATCTTTATAACCGTAACCAAACTTCAGGCTGAATTTTACTATTCATCTACCCGACTTAAAGAGATCTCTACGAATTCGTAGCATGCAAAAGTAAAGAAAGAATTCATTTAAATTATAGGAATGTCACCGAAATGTAAATTGAGCTCCATTGTTCGGCAAGTATGTAAACTAGAAAATTCTTCCGAAAAGGCAACTGGACAATAACCCTTAACTGTTCCGTGTTTACTTAGTGAGCCATTGCTCACGGATAATAAGTGCTTCTTTCCTAAAAATAGATTAAGCGGATGTTGTTATGTTTCATCAATATTTTTTAAGAAGCAATATGAAGCTGAATTACAGTCAGTTACTTTTAATTAGCCTTTTGGCGTATATCTCATTATTCTGTGTATGTGACATTTTAATCTTTGAGAAACAATTGCCATTTTCACAGCATAAAGTGTCATATTTTATGTTTGATTTTCGAATCCTTTTGAAAAAAAATAATTTCATTGCATTATTTTAAATATAATATTTATTTTAAAAAACGCAATAAAAGTTATAAATCTTTAACTTTCATTATCGCGTGATGCTAAATACATGTTTTGTAAAGAAGATATCTCAATTATCAGAATGGCCTCTGGTACCAATTAGACAGATTTCTACTGCATTCGTAAAATGGAAATTTATTCATTTGATTTTTAAATGAATTTAATTTGATTTTTAAATGAATTTTTAAATTTCTGCTCTTTATTATTCAGGCCAGTTCGACTCATCAAAAAGCACAATTGATGATATTGGTGCTTTTGCATTAATCAGTGGAGAAATAGATTTGCAGCTGGAATCTGCACAAATTCACGGAGCTCACGCTATTTTCGACTTTAAAGATTGTACTTTTCAGCAATTGTATCACCTTTCATCCATACGATTTGTAAAAAGGTATAGCAGATACTTACAGGTAAGGACAAAGAAAAAGAAAAATTCTAAATATGCCTCTCTTAAAACATTATTATAATATTGTATATCTAATCAAATACTGGTATATTCAAAACGATGTAAATAATTATTGCTATTAAAAATTAGCTGTAAATAATTATTTTAGGTTTCAACATGGTAACTAGACATTTTGTAACTTGATCCACAAAATTTTTTAAGTTTACATATATCCTTTTCTTTAAAATAAATAATAATAATAATAAATAATAATTTTTTAAATCCTTAATTATCAGTACAGTTAATGTTATGAAGGATGATGAAAAGGGCGACGATGATGACGAGGAAGAATAGTCTGTTGTTTCTTGTCTTAAGTCCAAGATAATAAACTTTTGATTTATCTCGAATCAACAGACTTCCGATTTAATGGATAGAATTTGGTTAATCTAGCAAATGTACTGAAGTTAGGAAAAATGCTTAAGCAAAAACTTTGACCAGATATTTATAAGATGCGCGACGAATGTGATTGTAGTATCATAGTCTTCGTGCATAGAACAAGAGTGCCACCACTGCTGGTTGTTCGAATCCGAATTTCGGTTCCATTTGTGATGATTTGTGCACATATGCAGCTTTAATTATCCATTCCGATCAGATTTTTCGCGTGCGTTGATGCGTTACCGTATGTTATAGATATCTGAAGTATTCTAATGCATTTGAATACATATACTTATTTACAGGGTAATAAAATATTATTTTAACATGAGAATAACAGAATCTGAGCTAATAATATCTAGATTTGAAGCTGATAATGTCTAGAGTGAGACCTTGAGCAATAACTCACAAACAAACTAAAGCTAATTTTTAAGTTAGAAGAAGACGCGCCAGCTGCTGATACTTGTAAACTCTGTCGTGGGAAGAAACGAACTATTTCGGATTTATAAGAATAAAAATAATAATAATAATAATAAAAAAACAAAACTTTCATCAGCTTTTGGTTAACTAAGAGCTCGAAGATAGCTCGAAGAGTGATTCTGAAGTCGAAGATAGGAAACACACGAAATTCAGAACAATTGCGAAAATTTATACGAAGGTGGTTTTTTTCGACAGACTTCCTTTCGCCCCATTTTTCTCCAGAAAGGAGAAGTTGATTTCAAGAGTTTTGTAATCCCTAATCGTCATGAAACTGCATTGAAGTCTGGAAAAAATGGCAGTGAAGATGTTATTGAACAGTATCCTAAAAATGAGGGTGATTCATGTTGCCAGATTCCTAATCAGAAGGAGATCATGGAAAATGTTATGAAGGATAATGGAAAGGACGACACTGATGACAAGGAAGAATAATCGATGTCTCGTCCTAATTTTTAGGGCTATGAAGCGATACAGACAAGAGCTTTGCACATATCGAAGGAGCTTCAGATCCGGAAGTGTTGACTGGTATTCTGAAGAACTTAGGTCATAAAATCAGCCAACAATTTAGAATCTGAAGATCACAAATTAGATCTTTAAGAGGCAGTTTAGATCTTTCATTAATTAGAAATAACATTAAACTGTCAAGAAACTGATGTTTGAGGATCTTTTCCAGCTTTTAAAATGAAACTATAAGAACACATTTGTTACTAAATATATACTTAAAATATTTTACATTTAGATTATACAAAAACATTTCAAGTTTAATACTCTATTTTAAATATTGCTCATAATATAATTCACGAATTAATAGACTTCCGATATTACTGAACCGTAATTATTCCTTTAAATCAAAGTTTTACTAACTTCTCTATTATTCCTTATTACAACGGAACAATTTTAAATGTCTCGATTTATATCAAGTCGCTGCCTCGATCCTGATGTCAAAGAAAATAAAAAACATTCCCAATATACTGAGAGGAAAAACCAAAATTTCATTCCTGATATCTCGGACCGAGATGCAATCGATTGTTGAAAAACGCTTCTTAGGTAATTTTAACTTTTTTTAAATACTCTCTGGTATAAATTTACAGATAAAAAATAACAATATTTTTTGTTTTGTTTGAAAGATTATCTCCAAAGTATAATGAGAACCAAATTCGTAACTTCAGTTTTTTATTTATTTAAAACATATAAGCAGATTTTCATACATATTTTAATCAAATTCCTTTTTTCCTATATTTAGGAATGTTGGCCATGCAGGGTCAAAGGCTTGCATGTAATTAATGAGCCATCATCTGTGCACTATTTATGCTTCATTATGTGCACTTTCTTATCGAAGAAGATGAAGCAAAGGGTAAGTGGTTTTATGTGCAAAATGAAAACACCTTCCTGTTAACAGCGATTTGCTTATTTATTGAATTTTCCTCCATTGCTTATAATAGCAGTAAATGGAAAATAATTTTATGACCTTTATGATTTTGAAGGCGCGATAATCATGCACAACGAAATAATGTAGGTGAAAAAAAGATAATGCAATAAAATAAGGTACTTTTCCATTTTGCCGGCGCAAGCAAATAAAGTCGCCAAAAATGATACAACCGTTACCAAACGAAATATCCTCGCTGGTAATCTTTTACGCCTCATTTTCAAAACAATTCGCAGCAATTTCTTATCAGATTGATTGTTTCTTTCAATACTGGCATACAATTACATAGAATTTTAACCCAGATAGTTCAATTTTATACCCTAAGGCCATTCGCGGTAATTAAGTCAATTAGGATGCAATCACACCACTCACCAGAAGGCGAAAATATAGAAAAGGCAAAGTTAAGGGTTAAATTCATCCATTCTAATGAGATTGCACTAGCGAAGTAAAGCACTGCGGTGTTACATAATTTCGGTGTGTATTTAATTATGGCAAAGCACACGAGGGCTATCTGCCTAAGGGGGAGGGATGCCTTTCGTGGAGGACTTTCTAAGGGAAACTGGCTCGTATACACGTTACACATGGGGAAAACCACGAAAACGCCCATGCAGCCAGCCCGTTCGCGGGATTCGAACCTCGGACCGAACTACCAGTGTTCAGCGACTTTACCGCTCGGCCGCTGGTGGGCCCTACATAATTTCGGAGTAAGCTATTCGTACGAATTGAAATAATTCTTCAATTTAAACTTGTATTCCAAATTAAGATATAACTTGAAATTAATGTAGATAATTACTGAGAGAATTAGATTTTTTGTAGCGGAGTTTACGTGAGATGAGATCCCTTAGAGTCACATGATAAGAAACTGCTAATCAGGGCGTTGCTCCATGAAAGCGTAGAAAATTCTTAATTATAATGTCTTTTTTACAAAATTTTAAGCCATATTAAAATGTTCATACCTTCAAATAAAAAAATATCTTAGAACTAACTTGTGTTAAGCGTATGTGTGTTTGTCCGCCAATAAAGTCTGCTTGGCGAGATTTGCGCCGGCGAAACGGAAAAGTACCTAAAATAATGTGAGTAAATAAAAGCTAATGTGATAAAATAATGTATGTATAAAAATTATAAAATAAAAAAGATAAAATCTGAAACCTTTCAGACTTTTATCTTTTTTATTTTATTACGTTCAATTTTAATATTTAAATTACATTCAAAGGGGCGTTGGTACTATTCGGTTTTGAGGGCCGTAAAAAAATTGCAGCGAAAATGTATGCGCAAAAGCGCCAAATCTAGCAAACGCGCGCATTTAAACAGCGGCCCAAATCTAGCGTAAGCGTTGATTTCAAATTGTGTAAGTTTATATTAGTTCTATATTTCTTAAGACGCCATTGACAAACTAGTTTAATTTTTAAATCCTTTTTTTAATTTTAAATCCTTTTTTGATATCCTATGGATTTAACAATTTGGGAATTGCCCATGACGAAAAGTCGTGCAATAGAATTTTGGGTTAAAGTGCAGGAATCATCCTACTGCTTGACGCGTTTTTAAGAATTGCCACATACTCGGTATCCATGTGCACATCGACCTATTTTCACTATAAAAAAAAAATCCTAGAATTGCACAAAAATGGCACTGCGCACACCCTTGACTTTTTCTATGTACACATCGACGTATTTTCACTTAAAAAGTAAAAGAAATTTGACAAAAATTCAATTGTTTTTACCCTTGTAAAAAGCGGCAAACAAATACGTGAGACGATTCTGCATCTTTACCGAGAATATTTTCAAAGAAAAGGCATCATTCATTATGGAAAATTATGTTTGAACAACCAACGAGATGAAATTATGCTTTAGCGATAAGTCGGTAGGGAAATAGCGATGCAGGCATCCATTCAGTTATATTTAGCAATTTTTATATAAATTATAATAATGATCTGAAATAATTATTTACTCTTATGCTTCCATTCAGTCATGTTTAGCCTTTTTCATATAAATTATAATAATAAAAAAGTATTATATGAAATTAACCTTTCATCTAAATTAAAACATCAATCTTAGATAGTTATTTACTATTATACTTCCTTTCTTGCCGCAATTATTTTTGGCAGCATTGGCATCAACAAATAGTTTGGCGATTTTTTACGGTCCTCGAAACCGAATAGTACAGGGCGTTTTTTAAACATTTTGTCTATTATCTTTATTTATTAAAAATCACGTTCTTCTCACTTAAACTATAAAATTAAGTTCAAGAGCAATATCGCAAAATAGCTTTAAATTGAGCATATCCTTTAGAATTTCCGATACACGGTCTCACGCTCGAGAGATAAAAATATTTTTTCTGTGCAACGTTGCGATTGCTCGCTTTGAAATTCTTGAGTTTGTGAACCGAAAAATCGTTAAAGTATGAAATTAATAATTAAACAAGTTCCAAATTTCAATTTGTGCTTCCACATGTCCATATTCGCAGTAGGATTACATCATTCCAAATTCGATGTCTCTATGTACCGCTGTTTTATCACACTGTAAGAAATATGCATACATTTATGCAGATTTTTCATTATTTAATTTCTTCAAATATAATGCAAGACTCTAACATTTGGTGGCAACAGTTTGAAAACTGAAACGGACATTTATAGTGATTCAATGCAAAATCGCAAAACGAATCATTCTTGCACTTAAAATCAATTTAAATCTTTAGTTCCAAAATTTATAAATATAAGAAAGAATATTTTTTACAATCATTATGATAGTTTCAAGTGTACAAGATATTAAAATATGGTTTAAACTTAAATAGAAAGAAATGCTTTAGGCACAGGTGTAAGTGAATAAATTTGCAGTGAAATTATGCGTGAATAATTATTACTATGAGTATGAAATAATACCTCTTTTTATATGGCCAACGAATTTTTAAAGGATAAAAGTGAAATATGCAGTCGGAAAATTTAAACCTAAACATTCTAGCAGTTCGAAAAATTTAATATTCATATTAAAAAATTCAAAATATACTTCAATAAATGAAAATATAAAAATTATAAGATTAAAAAGAAATTAAAATCTGAATTAGGTAGGCAGATTTCAGTATAATACCTGAAAGTATTTTATGTTAAGCAGTTACTAAACATCTTCTAGTTTTTCACATTTCTCCATACGGATGCTGCCTTGATGACATACTTCCTTTGTGCTCTTTTTTTTATTTTCATTTTGCTTTGTTATTAACTCCAGGCTTTGTTTTTAAGAAAGCAAATATAAAACTCCGCGTGTTCCACGAAGTATTCCAGGAGGCTTACAGATTTAAGTAAATAACTCGTAACACAAGAAGATACAATTCAACAATAAAAGCATAATATCTATGCCTGGAGATATCCAAGAAAAATATATAAAAAAATACTAAAATGTACCACGAATAATTAAACTATGTTACTACTCCTTCAAAATAAAATAAACCAACTTAATAATAATACAATAATAATAAAAATGAAATGATACTTAAAAATAATATTGATGCAAAGGAAAAATGATACATCAATATGTAATATAATCATACATAGACGATACGAAGAATAATACAATAACATATAAAAGATTAAAATGCAGTCATATTATAAGGTATTTCTCCTGCTTCCTTAGCATGCCTTCGTAGTGTAGTGGTTAGCACTCTGGGCGCGTATTCCAGAGGTCCGTGGCTCGATTTCCGGCGAGGGCAATGCTAATTTTTCTCATCTTCTGCTTTAAAAAAATACCTAATATCTCTACAGTGGCGCCCGAGCTAAAAGGTTGGTGGGTGATGATTCTCCACTCCTAGATTTGGCGACTGGGTCCCTTAAAACCCCAGTCGCCCTTTAAAAGGGGGAGTATATAAGATATTTCTCCCTCCTTCTAGCATGCTTTCGTAGTGTAGTGGTCTGCACGCTGGGCGCGTATTCCAGATGTCCGTTGTACGATTCCCGACGAGGGCTTGCTCATTTTCCCCTCCTCCTGCTTCCAAAAAATACCTAATGTCTCTACAATATAAATAATAATACTAAAAGTTCAAACAACACATAAAGTCGTGAAAGACTGCAAAGGCTGAATTTTCCCCTCACCCGCGTGTAATCTGCGCTCTACTTCCGAAAACGTGCTCTTGAATATTGTTGGCTCTTTGATGTATACTTGGTGACTGGTGGTTTTGTTCTATGGCTTATAATCTCGTGTGCATTTAGAATTGTGAATATGATTCGGAAGTGGATTTTGAATTTCAAACTGGATGGAATTATTGATGGACTGCTTCAGAGAAAAAAATATGACGAGACTGATTTCGCTCACAAGTTGGAACTCTCGGCGAATCTTCAGGAATCCTCTTAACAATACGTCAATAACAACTATACGTAACCGTAGACCGAGAGATTCACCTGAAGCTGTAAGAAAAACAGATTGCTTCTGCGTAAAACCTACTGAAGATTCTAATAAGTTTTGTAAATTGATGTTCGGGCAAATCATGCTTCTTTTGGAAATTCTTGTCTTACTGCTGCGAAACCATTTAGTAATAATTCTGATGATAAAGATATCGCCTTATTGTTTAAGATTGCTAGTTATGGTTTAAAATGTTTAGATCTTTAGAAGTCCCTCTAAGTCAGTTTCGAAAATGTTCGAAACTGATTATGGGGGAAAATAATGAGTTCATAAGAAAAACTTTTCAGAGATTTTCAAAGAAATAAATAATACTATCGCAAATTTTTCCATCCTTGATATTATTTGGACTTTCTCGGGAAGTGCCAATGAAATTCGCAGTGAGCCACCTTCACTACCACACCTTTTGTTGTGTTCACTATTTTCGACGACATTTCAAATAACAACAACTTACATGGAAATCGATATCAGAATTGTTGAGATTTGTATGCTTTTCCACGTGTGATTAATTAATCTGCTAGCTTCGAATAATATGTAATACTTCTA